ACTAAAGTTATTGTGCGAAAACCTATGTGTCTTAGGACGACGACGACGACCCCAACGTCATACCAATATACGATCGTATAAAAAAGTCAATCGTCCACCATGATAGAACTTGTCCGGGATATTACTGATATTAACCTATAGTATAAGTTTTATAAAAATCTGGCAAGAATTGTACCCGTGAAAGTGCTAACGAGGCCATTTTCCATAAATCTAATATTTCCAAGGGGCATATCTATTTTTTGAAATGTTGATCGTCCACCATTATAGAACCTGTCAGAGATATTGCTGATATTAACCTATAGTATAAGTTTTATAAAAATCTGGTAAGAATTGTACCTGTGAGAGTGCTAACAAGGCCATTTTCTATAAATTTAATATTTCCAAGGGGCATAACTCTTTTAAAAAAGGTCCATCGTCCACCATTATATAACTTGTCAGATATATTGCTGATATTAACCTATAGTATAAGTTTTATAAAATTCTGGTAAGAATTGTACCAGTGAGAGCGCTAACGAAGCCATTTTCCATAAATTTAATATTTCCAAGGGGCATAACTCTTTTAAAAAAAGTCGATTGTCCACCATTATAGAACTTGTCCAAGATATTGCTAATATTAACCTATAGTATAAGTTTTATAAAATCTGGCAAGAATTGTACCTGAGAGAGCACTAACAAGACCAGACTGCAGGACACACGGAGGGATGCACGGACGGACGGACGCCCGGTATTTCCATGTCCCCCGCAACACGTTACACAGGGGACAATAAGTACTAGTAAATAAATTTTAGTCTTAAATGCTCAAAAATTATTCAGTCATGTTTAGTCTTTCAGTCAATTTCCATTATAACTTATCTTCTGCGGTAAATTCAGTACTGTTTAGACAATTTGGGAGAGGAACTTGTAAAAGTGAAAACTCAAATGTTTTCCAATCCTAATAAAACTGTCATATTGTAATGTTTACGTTAATATTTTCAAAATAAAATATTGTTTACACTATGATTTGCTTGCAGCCATTTCAGTACTTTTCAGTAGATTTTCTGACAATTCTGTATGATGTTGAGGTGTACAGGTAAATAACAAACACAGAACAGTCTGAACATAGTCTGACTGCAAGTGAAATGTCTGAACATGACTGAATTTATGAATATGTGTATGAAAACTGACTGAAAAACTTAAAATTCCTTAATGATTCATAGTTTAGTCTAAATACCTGTTCAGATCTAAATGACTATTTCAGATCAATTTTGGTTTCCTAGTGAAGGAAAACTAGAGTTTCTGAAGATTGATTGATTGATTGATTGGTGCTTGCTTAACATTTAAGTTTCTGAATATTCTGAAGAGACATTATAACAGACAACATTGTCAAAATAATGAGATTCATTATAGACAACACTATTGACATTGTGTAATTGTATACTCCTTGAGAAATCTGAAAAAAAATTTCCAAATGTGTATAGAAAATACAGTTTACTTTTATAATGTATTAAGAAAGTTTCAAAACTGGAGAGTTGAAAACACAAAATGGTTATGTTCCATCATTAATTTGGCTGAAAATTTACTAAAGTAATTTACCACCTAAACAAATGATCCAAATTAACAAGCTCAGGTCCATAAGTTCCACAGAAAGTCAGATAGTAAACAATCATATCATTACCACATTTCAGATGAAGGTCTCCTCTGAATAATATAAGTCCCTACTATGTATTGGCTACCTAAACTACACAAAAAGCCTGTCAAATATCAATGGCCTCCAGCAACTGTTCTTCAACTTATTTTTCAGTGCTTTTAACTGGCTCTCTTACTAATATCAAAAAGTTTATTCATAACTTCTGTCACTATTAGAGTGTAAAAAGTCCTTTGTTTTTATTTTTGATAAATTTCTACGCTTTTGATGCTCCGTTCATTTTTTTTTAATTTTCGAGGCTACACTATAGCTACATTCCACACAATCTTATTAAACAAAAGTTTTCATATTCATTTAAATGGTCCTTCAAAATATCGGATTGCAAATTTATTTGCTACAACTTATATAAAACTTTTTTTGCAATGAAAAGAGTAAATATGCTAGATCTACTTGTTGAAAGTGTGATGAGTTGATTAAAGATGAAAATTTTCTCCTTCAAAACATTTATGTACGTTTCGTTTCGGCAATAAAGTTTATCAACAGGCTAAAGGTATTCCAATTTGCACCAATTGCACCCCTTTAATAGCAGATTTGTTCTTTTATTGTAATGAAATCAAAGTTGATGGCATACACAGCAAATATCTGTCTAAATTTCATCTTATTAATAAATTCAACACCTTTATGATATTGTTTCGTTAAATAATCAAGAAATTTCTAAATATCCTCCCAAAACTAACCAAAGGAAACTTATTTTAATTAAATCTAATACATACAGCAATAACTGCCCTTTCCTAGATTATGATAATACAGTTTCACACTGAGGACACTCAATACTAAAATTTACAATAAGGGGTAATTTTTTGCTATCTTTTGTTAATTTACCTTTGTTGGACAGTGATGTTCTTTGGGTTTAGAACCATTAATTAGGGCCCAGTCAGAAAGGACATAAAAGGAAGTAGTACATATTTTAAACAAAATAGTCCTTCACATAACTGTTACTTTGTGAATAAGTAAAATATTTGGGTAATTTTGGTATCAAATGATGGCTTAAGGACTTTGGGTCACTGAAGATTGATTGATTGACTGACTGTTGGCATTTAATACCACTTTCAGCACTATTGGTTATATAATGGAAGTCAGTTCTTATTGGTTGGGGAAGCCAGAGTGCCTGGAATGAACCACAAGAAAACTGACAATCCTAGTCAATTAAGGTTGGAGTCGAAAGCACCTACTTGGTGCTGGATTCAAACTCACAACCTCAGTGTTAACAGGCTAGTGATACAGTAGATACCTAGAACACTCGACCACGAATCACTGAAAAACCCTTGTTGAAAGTGTCTTTTGAATAATAAAATAAAAGCTATGAAATTAAAATAGGAGAGCATATTTCCCTTCCTTTGTGTCTTAGTGTTTTTGTTAATTGTTTTTTATGCTTTGTATTAATCTGATGAATTCAATTAAAGTCTTTTTCAAATGTTTTAACAGTTTATTTTATATTTTGTTGTTATAACCCATCGTTCCGGATTAGGGTAGGGTTGGGTACAACACACATGTTGAGTCCCACTAGATTATTTATGTGTCTGTCCAAAGTCAGGATCCTGTAATTCAGTTGTTTTTGTTTGTTGCTGTATTTCATATTTGGCTTTTGTTTGTGTTTTGTACATGAAAAAGGCTGTTGGTTTTGTCATTCAAATTGTTTTAACAATTTGTCATGTCCAGGCCTTTTATAGCTTGCTATGCATTTGGGTCTTGCTCATTGTTGAAGGTAATACTGTGACTTATAATTGCTAACTTTTATGTCCATTAATGTCATTCAGTCTCTGATGAATAGCTGACTCCTTGGCAATCATACAATATCTCTTTATTATTTCATATTAGAAATGTACTCAACACACAAAAAAAACCACTTTTAACTGCCTTTTGGATGAGTAGCAGGGTTACCTTTTTAAAAAGTCTTTTTTTTAACCTTACCCAACATGCCATATTTATTCTATCAGTCCTCCAACCTCTAGAATATATAATAAATAACAAATTGATTCTTTTTACATGATTTGACTATGCTTATTTAACACAGCATTAACTGACTTTGTGGTCACTTAGTAGTGTCTTGCCTCAAGTACAGGAGGTTCATGTATCTATGAGGTAAAACCAAAGACTTTAAAATTGTTCTTCAAGTCCTCTGCATTTAGTAGTCAGGGCAGATTGGTAGGCTCAGTGTCAGAATAGTTTGTCTGGGTAGTATAACAAGTCTCCCTGTAGAATGGTACCTTGAAAACTAGCAAGATAAAAAATTTCACTCACCGTGTAATCCTAGTAAAAGGCAAATATCCTATAATTCATATATTACATTAACATGTTCAAGTTCTGATAATACATGTGATATTTGCAATTTGACGTAAAACAACAATCCTTTTTTCTTTTCTGACATAGCCGATCTATTCTAGAAAGAAAACGACCACACACAAGGTCCAAAAAAATTTACCGCAAAACCAAATGAACTGCAGAACCACAGGACTTTATTTTCAAAATGAACTTGAAACATGGATAGTGTACCATAACCGCAAATACCAAACAGATTAACCCAGTTTCCGCAATGCCCTACATGTGCGACTACCATACATCCCACACTATTCCTGACGCAATTGGAAGTAGTACCTCATTCAGAGTGAAGCCATTTGAAATGGTATGAAATGTCCAGTGAGGTGTTGTCCATTTTGGAAAAGATACTGACAATTCATTACTAACTTTTACTTTCACTTTCATTTTAAAGTTGTCAAACCGATATATGATATAATTGTGATGTTACATCTTGTTAACCTTTTTGTAACCCCATATGAACCGCATTCTATGTACTTCAGCACTTGTTTCCTATCATTAAATTGTCCTGAAGACGCCACAGTAAGTGTCGAAACATGTAGACCAGAATAAAGCATTTCCTTGCAGTAATCTAGGATGTTGTTGTCTTTTTAAAGTTTTATTTTCTCGGTATCCATCCTGATTACTCTACCAGTCTGTACCGTTAGAAGGTGTTGGTTCACTTGTGTAGATGTCTTAAGTTAATATCGTTTTATAAAAATATCTGAATATAAAATAATGGAGAATGTGTCCATTGGACACAGATGATGTCCCAGCTTGCATATAACATATAAAGGGACATAACAAAAGAACTGTAAAGGTGAAGCCACCCAAATTTGAACTTGATCTGTTTTTTATGGTAATAAGCATTGTGTATAAGTTTCATAACATTTGGTTGAGGCAAATTAAAGTTCTAGAACGATAACGAAAAATTCAGCAATTTTTCTATTTATAAAGGGCATAACTCAAGAATGATAAATTAGTGACATACAAAGTGACAAAGGGGCATTCAAACACATACCTTTCCAACTTGAGTAAACAGATCATTGAATTTTGTACTCGAAAGAGCTCTCAGTTTCTCTTGATCAGGATGTGCCAGAAAATTTCTATAATGCTTTATGATGGCTAAACAAGCACCTGCAGATGTGTCAGCTTTGTGTGGTAAGTGATCAAATCCACCCCTTGGAGACTGTACTTTTTGGATCATTTCCCGTAGAAGGCAAATCAAGATAGTTATATCAAAGTCTGCAGATGTTGGTCTAACTGTTAAAAAATAAAAAGAGTCATGTAGTAAATAAAAAAATAATTCTGAGCATATAATTATAGCATTACAAAAGTAAACCAAACAGAAAACCACATGATGGGGTCTGGATTTCTTTTTAATTGTGTCTTTGGGTTGCAGTATCATTCAGCTTCAACTTTACTACAAATATATATTGTGTGAATTTCTTTAACTGTAATGTGTTATTCACAAAGGCTATTTGAAGTGTATCACTCAAACTATATGCATAATGTCAAATATGGTACTATCCAACCCTAAGACCTCCTAAATCTATTTATTCTCCAAAAGTTTAGATGAAATTAGTACGACAAGGTTTTCAATGCATCTTTCAAATGTATCAGAATTCACAGTTTCACCTGGCCATGTTTTTAAGTAACTGATACAAAACAAGACAGTATTTGAGGAAAGATTTAAGAATGTTCGCCTGCCTGTTTTTTTTTACTTTTTGTCAAGATATTTGGAATCCTCTAGTTTTATCCATGTGCTGCCATAAAAAAAACTTTTGCCTTCTAACCTCTTCTTTTCTTTTCATAATTTAATTTATAACCCATAGTTTAGAAAGCCATTTGTGAAGAAAAAAAAGATGCCAATGTTAATTGTATGAAAAATCTAGAAAGAATCATGGCTTATAATGTTTCAAAAACAAAGACAATTAAACCTTTCATTTTTCTGCTTTTATAGTTCTGTTATATGTATATACTATGAATTTATAACAGTCTTTTAAAAAGCTTGTCATTTAAAAGCGAACATCCTTAACTCAGATTAGTGTTTGTTAATCTGCTATATATATGCAATGAAATTATTCCTGTAAATTGTGTGGTTCAGATTTCTTGAAATTTTTATATTTTTGTCAACAGACCAAAGTCAATAATTTCGTCAAAATTTTATGAAAACAAGCATTCTGAGAGGATTGCATGGCAATACATAGTCCCCTACCGGTTAAAAATTTCTTCGTACTGGAACAAAATGCTTACTTGATCTATAACTTGTCATGGTGTAAACTTTATCACAAGTATCAAGTCAATATCTTCAAGCATGACGAAAAAAAGTGTGGAAAACTGATTATTTAAGAGAATTTTCTAAGTCCAAGGACCCTAACTCTGCCCAAAATCATCAGACTGGAACAAAATTCGAACTTGATCTGTATATTATCATGATAAAACTATATACCAATTATTCATTAAATATCATCAAGCATGACAAAAAATAGATAGGAAAACTGATTATTTGAGTAAAATTTCTAAGTCCAACGACCATAACTCTGCACAAAATCATCAGACTGGAACAAAATTTGAACTTGATCTGTTACTTGTCATGATAAAACTATATACCAATTATTCATTCAATATCTTCAAGCATGACGAAAAAAAGTGAGGAAATCTGATTATTTGGGTGAATTTTCTAAGTCCAAGGACAATAACTCTGCTCTAAATCATCAGACCAGAACAAAATTGGAACTTGATCTGTAACTTGTCATGATAAAACAATACACCAAATATCAAAGCACAAAGAAAAAAAATGTGGAAAATTGATTTGCGGTACTGACTGATGGACATACAGACAGACAGACAGAGAGATGGATGGAGTGCAAACCTAAAGTCCCCTTCAACTTTGTTGGTAGGGGACTAATTAAACGAGCCAAACCTATTTTAGTCAAAGAGTTGGGTACTTCCTAAAATGTTAGGCAAACACTTAAAATATTGTTAAAAAATCCTCATTTAAGGGCAATAACTCCAATAAGAAGTCGTCTAACGATTTCTGCCATGTTGTCTTATTTGAAGATCTTGTCTTGCTAATCTTTTTTGCTTTGAAATTGTCTGTTTAACCATTATAGTTTTCAAGATAATAGGCAAACTCACTAAAATTGAGGATGCAGGGTCAAATGACCTCCATGGAAATGAGATGTGCCATTGCTAATACAACTGCATACCTAATGTCACTTATCATAAGTTATTCCCCTTCAACTCACCTAATTACAAACTTGAACATGAAAACTTTTCACCACTGTGTAAACTTATTTGTAGATCTTGTCTTGCTGATCACTTTTGCTTATTTAAGTTTCTATCTATCATTGAAACTCTTTTGATATTAGGCAAAAAATGCAAAAAATTGATAAAAATAGTAGTTAAAGGGCAATAACTCCAATAAGGAGTTATCTGATGATTTCGACCATGTGAACTTATTTGTAGATCTCGTCTTGTTGACCATTCTTTGTATATAAAGTTTCTCCCCATCTATTATACTTTTTTTCAGATATTAGGCAAACAAGAAAAAAATTGGTAAAATTCGTCAGTTAAGGGCAATAACTGATTTAAGAAGTCGTCTGACAAATTTGAAGAAAATAGACAATATGTAGATTTAATTATTCTGGACATTTTTGCTCCAGTCAGATTTTCTCTTTTCATAGTGTTTTCAAGATAACAGACAAAACTTGCATATAACCCCTATGTTCTATTCTTAGTTTTAATAACTCCTATAAGAAGTTGTCTGACAGTTTTGACATATATGAACAATTGGTAGAGCTCAACATTCTGAACATTTTTTCCACTAGTCCGATTTTCTCTATTTATAATGGTTTTCTAAATAATAGACAAAACTTGCATTTTACCCCTTTGTTCTATTATTAGCCATGTCGGCCATCTTGGTTGGCAGGCGGGGTCATCAGGACACAGTTTTTAATCGAGATACCCCAATGATGATTGTGGTCAAGTTTGGATTAATTTGGATTAGAAGTTGCAGCTAGAGGAGAAGATTTTTGTAAAAGTTAACGACGACGGAGACAAGTGTTGAGAAAAAAGCTCACTTGGCCCTTCGGGCCAGGTAAGCAAAAAATGGTTAAAATTTGTCAGTTAAGAGCAATAACTCCTATAAGAAGTTGTCTGACAGTTGTGAAGTACAATAGACAATTGGTAGTGCTAAACATTCTGATCATTTTGCTCTGTCATATTTTCTCTATTCATAACGGTTTTCAAAATAATAGACAAAACTTAAATTTTACCCTCTATATTCTATTTTTAGCAATGTCAGCCATGTTAGCTGGCAGCAGGGTCATCGTTTTTGTCAAGCCTGCGACTTTTGTTGCAAAAGCGAGACATTATATATAGCGATCCTACATTCCATCGTCGTTGGCGGTGTCCACAAATATTCACTCTGTGGTTTAAGTTTTTGAAATTTTAATAACTTTCTTAAAATATCCTGGATTTCTACCAAACTTGGACAAAAGCTTGTTTATGATCATAAGATAGTTACTGGAAGTAAATTTTGTAAAAAAAAATCATGATTTTCCGTATTTTACTTATAAATGGACTTAGTTTTTCTCCCAGTTAACATTACATTCACTCTGTGGTTAAAGTTTTAAAAAATTTAATAACTTTCTTAAACTATCCTGGATTTGTACCAAACTTGGACAGAAGCTTGTTTATGATCAAAAGCTAGTATATATCTAGAAGAAAATTTTGTAAAAATTTATTTCCTGTTTTTCCGTATATTACTTATAAATGGACTTAGTTTTTCTTCCAGTTAACATTACATACAGTCTGCAGTTAAAGTTTTTAAAACATTTATTAGATTCATAAACCATTTCATTAACTGTATATCTATTATGTGCATTCCCCTATCACACTGAAAACATAGACAACAGCAAAAGTAGGTGAGACACTGGGTTCCGCGGAACCCTTACGAATTTTTAAACAAGATACCCTAATAATGATTGTGGCCAAGTGTAGTTAAATTTTGCCCAATTGTTTTCAGAGGAGCAGATTTTATTTAAAGTTAACGACGTACGAGGAAGACGGGGGAAGACGACGATAACGACGGACAACAGTTGCCAAGAGATGAGAAAAGATCACTTGCCTTTTGAGGCCAGATGAGCTAAAAATCAGGGACCTGGACAATATAACACTGGAATGTTAGTGGCAAAGTTAAATTTCTATTGGTCTCTTTATTTCAGAGATGAAGTTTATCAAGTTAATTACCGGTAAGAATGAAAGACAGATGACAGATGTATGATGGATGCTAAGTTTGGTAAAAAACTGAGATTTTCCCTTTTAATTTATGTTTCATTGTTTCAAATTTCACCAAGCATTACATACCTCTTGGCTTTGGATACATTTTTTCCCACATTGCTTTGCTTATTATGCCATCTTGTTTTAGTGACTCCAGTGCTAATTTGTCATTTGCCAAATGTGTTTCCAGAACAGCAGGTGGATGCACCCTGTCAAAATATGCTTTGACAGCATCTGTACCAATTATGGAGGTAAGATACCAAGATCTGAGGTAATTGATTTCTTCTGTGGTCAATGGTTAAGCTGCCATTCTGCAAAAAAGTTTTTCAATAGAGGTTAAGTATTCCAAATTTATACAATTTGATGTTCCTTGAGACATATTAATGACATAAGTGATGAGACTTGTCAAAAATAAACAAATTTGCAAGTTGTACACTGTCCACACAAGCAAAAAATGACTAGGGACCATATTTGTAGACAACGAAAATCTAAGGACGATAACTGTGTCCTCAGACCACTTGATCTGTGTTTTGTGGTATTTAGCATTGTGCATAAGTTTCATAACATTTGGTTGAGACAAACTAAAGCTAGAGAACAGAAACGAAAAAAATTCAGCAATTTTTCCATTTGTAAAGGGGCATAACTCTAGAACAGTAAAAGTGACACCACCAAAGTTCAAACTTGATCTGTGTTTTGTGATAATAAGCATTGTGTAAAAGTTTCATAGGCAAACTAAAGTTAGAGAACGGAAACTAATTTCGGAAGTACAGAAGGACGGACAGACATAAAGACGGACAAGGATAAAACTTAATGCCCCCTCCGCTACAGCGGGGGCATAAAAAAACAACATATTCAACTATTTGGTTACTTAATCTCATTGGTTCTTACACTTAGTAAATCATATTAAACTGTTGACAATGAGAAATTGCTCTTGTGTAACACCATGAATATATAAACTATGCTAAAGTTTAAAAGTCCATGGACCATGACTTACGGAGAAGAATCAATTAGATTAATTGATTGTTGTTTAATGCCACTTTCAGCACTATTGTGCTATTTCGTGGAAGTCAGTTTTTATTTGGTGGAGGAAGCTTTCCGTAGGAAAACTGATAATCCTAGTCAATTAAGATTGGAGTCTAGTGCACCTGCCCCGTGTGGGATTCGAAATTGCAAACTCACTGTTGAAAGCTGCAGGCTTGTGATACAGTAGTTTGACTACTTAGACAACTTGGCCACCGAGGCCCGAGGGGTCAAATAGATTCCATGGAAACAAGTAAAACAATTACCTTGGAAATATCATTGACCTACCAATTAGTGTTTCTAATAAACTTTAAGAACAGTTGTTGACGCCATCTAGATCTATGCCAGAAACAAAAGAAAACTCTGGATGGAAAGCCTGCAGAAATTAACAAACAGAATATAATTAAAGTCAATTTCTAAATATAAATTAAGATATGATGCATATAGGAGAGTAAGGAGACCTTAAGGCAATGAACAGGAACGAACTCCGTTTGAGAAAACAATAATCACAGCTTCGAATTCATGTACATGTTTGTCTTATAATGTTCTGACAACAAATGGTATATAATTGTATAGTTAAACTTGGATCGATGTTTGTGAATAGTGCTTGCGTATGTTCAAACCATAGTTTTATTATATACTTTTTGCCATGGTCCAGAAAATTAGACAGTCATATTTATAACAAAAAATTAGATGTGATTTGATTACCAATGAGATAGATATCCACCAGAGACAAAATGATGTAGATGTTATAAAATATACGTCAACATACGGCATTCAACAATGAGAAAAACCCATACTGTATTGCAAGCTACATGTAAACAAGGATCCGACATGACAAATGTAAAAAATGTCAAACAACAAAAGCAACGGCATGTCATTGATTTATGTACAAAACAATTAAAAAAGCAAATTTAATACACTACAACAAACGACAACCAATGAATGAAATCCAGGCTTATGATTTTGCCACAGCCACACATCCTTCATGGCAGGGTTAATATAAAAATAATAAGATGTGGTATGATGGCCAATGAGACAACTATCCACAAGAGACCAAATGACACAGAAATTAACAACTATAGGTCATCGTACAGCCTTCAACAATGAGCAAAGCCCATACCGCAGAGTCAGCTATACAAGGCCCCGAAATGACAAATGTAAACACAATTCAAACGAGAAAACTAACGGCCTAATTTATGTACAAAATAATGAACGAAAAACAAATATGTTACACAGCAACAAACAACAACAACTGAATTGCATGCTCCTGACTTGGGACAGGCACATGCATTCAGAATGTCGCATATACATAACAGAACATACATCAATAAAAGTACTGTTCCTTTGCTTTTTGTAATTTTGCTGTGCATGAACTGGCTTTGTGTCATGGATGGATACCCCTTATCCTTTCTTTTCTATTATGTAAGAACTTATTGTAATAAAATGCTCCGCTGGGGCGCAGCTTGATACGACCGCAGAGGTCGAACCCTGAACAGTTGGGGCAAGTATGGACACAACATTCAAGCTTGATACAGCACTGAATTTGGATTGTAATTAAATATTTGACACAGCATAGGTTTCTGACACAGAATGAAAGTGGTCTAAGAACTTAAAAATTTTCAATTTACCTATTCATACATGTGATGGACTGCGAAACTCAGATCAGGAGATTGGGAAATTTTTGTCAGGAGATTAGGACTCAGATCAGGAGGTTTTTAATCGACATTAATTTTGTTGTAAATGTAACCGTGTGCTGTAAAAATGGTCTTTTAAAGTGTGTTTTCTTCAACTTTCCATCCAATTTATTATGTTTATAGTACCCTTGTACTTATAAAGTTTCTCCATCTTTATACATGTTCAATCTAACATTGTTTTTTTCCAGTATGTTCTTTAAATTTTTTACTTCATATTCTATAAAACAATCATTGCAACCAGAACATTTTTTTAGCTGTCTGCAAATAGTTTTTATTTGCAAACTCAGAAATTCATTCTATCTGTAAAGTTAGGGTCATAGTTATTATATAAATTTCAATTTAAGCCTTAAAAGGAATAAAATTGAGAATGGAAATGGGGAATGTGTCAAAGAGACAACAACCCGACCACAGAACAGACAACAGTAGAAGGCCACCAACAGGTCTATAGAATCCTCAAATAATTTTCAAATTATTATTTTTTTATTTGTCCTAAGACATTTAAAATCATTTAATAACCATCCTTTTATGATTATTTGTTCAATTTATATTTTATTTATATTCTTTTAAAAAATTTCATTATTAAAAGGAAAGTAACTTAAAACAGGATAAATCAAGGGAAGTAACCCAATAAATACACAGTTTTTGTTACACAACGGCAGTTAGCCTGAGGTAAAAATCGTTGCTTACCAGTATGTTTGACACCCAAGCTGACAAGTGAAGCCATATAATTATGCATGTTAATTGATTTACAGGTAAAATATAACTTCAGGTAATGTCAGTTACACCAGATGCCTGAGATGATATGTTGGGCAGAAATTTTTCATTCATGAAAAATTTCATACACGGGATTTTTTCCTCTTCAACGGGAGGTCGGGAGGAGACCCCTGAAAACGGGATTATTGTACTCCCGTCGGGAGGTTCACATGTATGCCTATTCAAACCAAATCATTATTATTTGCTTTTATATATAAATCAGAAATAACCAATTTAAAATGGAAAATGTTAAAGAAAAAAAAGGAAAAAAAAAATCCCCCCCCCAATTTTTTGAACCCCCTTATGATTCACCGCCCCCAAACTCAATCCCAGCTTTCCCTTTGTGGTATGGTACCTTGCACTACAATTTCAGAGAGATTCATACACTTGAACACAAGTTATTGTCTGGAAACTAGAAAAATGCTTGTTTTTTGGCCCCTTTTTGGCCCCAAATTCCTAAACGTTTAGGGCAATTACCCCCAAACTCAATTCCAGCTTTCCCTTTGTGATATGGAACCTTGCAGTACAATTTCATAAAGATCCATACACTTACACACAAGTTATTGTCCTGAAACTAGAAAAATGCATGTTTTTTTTGCCCTTTTATGGCCCCTAATTACTAAAATTTTGAGTGAAAACCCCCAAAATCAATCCCAGCCTTCCCTTTGTGATATGGAACCTTGTAGTACAATTTCATAAAGATCCATACACTTACAAACAAGTTATTGTCATGAAACTAGAAAAATGCTTGTTTTTTGCCCCTTTTTGGCCCCTAATTCCTAATATTTGGAGGAAATTACCCCAAAAATCAATCCCAGTATTCCCTTTGTGATATGGAACCTTGTAGTACAATTTCATAAAGATCCATACACTTACAAGCAAGTTATTGTCATGAAACTAGAAAAATGCTTGTTTTTTGCCCCTTTTTGGCCCCTAATTCCTAAAATTTGGAGACAATTACCCCCAAAATCAATCCCAGCATTCCCTTTGTGATATGGAACCTTGTGGTACAATGTCAGAGAGATCCATACACTTACACACAAGTTATGTCTGGAAGTTACAAAAATGCTTATTTTTGGCCCCTTTTGGCCCCTAATTCCTTAACTGTTAGTACCATAACCCCCAAAATCAATCCCCACCTTCCTTTTGTGGTATTGAACCTTATGGTAAAATTTCAATGAGATCCATTCACTTAAACTAAAGTTAGAGTGCGAAAACTAATGTGTATTCGGACGACGACGCCGGACGACGACGACGACGACGACGACGCCAACGTCATACCATTATACGACCACAAAAATTTTTTTGCGGTCGTATAAAAATCAGTTGACAAGGGGTTGACTAATTAGATCGATACCAAGTTCAAGAAAACACTTAGAAGAAGACCTATATAACCGACTTCAAACCAATTTACTCTATAAACATTTTTCTCAGAAACTATGTACCAATAAAAACTAATGGAACCTGCTCAAGTAGGATATAGGGACAAATAGTTCCGGTATAATAAAGATTCGGTGGACTCTAAAACGTTTTTGGTTGATTTATCTCACGGGACAATTAATGAAAGATATTTATCACACTTTTTTTTTCTCAAACACAATCAACTAAACAGAGAAAAAATAAATGACATGTCTTTTGAAAAATTTATTCATAAAAAAAAGTTTACCGAAATTAGTACAGGCAAAACGCAAGTGATTTAGAAATTAAGCTCTTTCCAGGGGTAAAAATTGCCATACACAAAAAGAAAATTGTAACTTTTTTAAAAATACCATATTGGCCTTTCCAATGTTCCACTTTTTTCTTTACCCCAATATAATTCATATGCAGAGCAATATTTTAAA